ACTCACAGCATTAAAAGAATAGAAACGAAACGTGAACTGTACCAGTTAAAAGAAATACCGTTTGAGATGAACTCCATTGATTGGCTTCGGTGGTTTCCTGCCCGTCAACTCTGCTAGCCAATACGAATTAGTGCCAGCACGAGAAAGTACCTGATAAGGACCAATCCAAGAAGGCTGGAACTTGGCAAAGTGATGCACAGCCGTATCAAGTCGCCACACAGGACGAATTTACGAATATAAGACTGAAAGCGCTGGTTAAACTGCCGCAGCGGTTCTGGTGGTTGTTGTCCAATGAGATCAAGCTCGTCCTTGCTCTCCAGAACTTCAAACCTCGTCACAAAAAGTTTGGTCAGTGAGTCGAGAAGTCAAGAAAGAAAGACCTAACACTTTCCTTTCATCAATGTGTCCAGGGATGATAGCCACTGTGTGCGCATCCAAAGCTCTCAAATTCTGCCCAAGCACTGCTGTCCCAGCCATCGTTTTGTTTTCTCAGTCCAGGACATCACACCCTCCCCCCAGGGGCATCCTGGATGCATGCGAAGCAGAATTTCCTCTCTTCCTACCAAGAAGGACACGACCCCAAATCACGAACGATCCCCACATCATGACCCATACCTCGCAACCTTGAGCTCGTTCCCGGCGGTAGCAGAAAAGATGCGCCAAATGCCTCATTTCTTGAAAATGGGGTACAAAAAGAATGCCTACCCTAAACACTTTCTCTCTCTAGTACAGATCACCCCGTATCGTACGTTCTAGAAAGCCAACCAGTCCATAGTTGTGGGAACACTGCTGTTTAGCTGGTACCTCCGTTTGCTGATGGTAGCAACTGCCATTTCCCTGTTCTTGGGAGAAAAGTGCGATACACTATTAGTACCACTCAATGGAGTGAACATGATGATAGCTGATAGGAAAATCTGCATCAACATCGGTTCGAATTATAGTTAGCGAAGAGATAGCGGACTATTTGTATGCCAGTGTTGGGATCAACTAGTGGAACCTGTTCTTGACAATGATAATGAAGGGAAAAAATAGACCAAAAGGTTACCTGTGTTGAACCTGAGATTTGCTTGAGCTTGGAGCAATTAAGTGACCCTTTGCCCGTGTTCCAGAGGATGTAAGGAAGTTCCAGGTCGCACAGGGCTTCTCTTAGCAGCCTTGCAAACTACCAAAAACTTTTAGAATTCTTTGAAAACAAAGCACTTTACATGGTTGTTCAAGTAGAGCTCAAGTAGCTTCTGTGGAGGATTTGGCAATGCTCCATTCCACAGTGACATGCCTCCCCCTGCTCGTATTATTGTCGGCACCCAGCCAGTGACTAAAGTGCTGGAACACACTATGATGAAATACCGAAGAGTTTACACTTCAATAAAACTTCTTACCTTTCTAAAATCCCGAATGTTGGCTTGCTTCTCTCACCATATTCCTGGAACAAGTAGTTGACAATATCGGCTGCCAGAGGCATTCATGCAAGCTGATTGTGATGGAAAGAAAACGAGAAAGTTACTCACAGCTCTCGTACATTGACACGCCGGTGTTTGGATCCAAGACAAATGAAAACCTGTCATATTCGATGAGAATTTGTTACAGACAAGAGTGTATCACTTACTGCTCTTTGCCTCCAGACGATTCACAAACGCACGATGGACTCGAGATCCTATGGGGCACGGATACAACTACACAAAAATTGAAAAAGTTTCCATCTGCAACTTCCGCGAGACACTACCTCGGCAGAAAGATCGTGCTTCTCTCACTCGTCTACAGAAGGGACAGGCCTCTATATACAAACAAGAAAAATCAACAAACAACTGCAATACGAGAGTTTAAGCTTACCGAATTCGTAAAGCTTGAAGAGCTCAAGTTGAAGATACGATCTGTGTCTTGACGTTCTCTGCCAAGCTTGCAATTCCCCAAGACAGAAGATGTTTGATGGCAGAAAAAAAAGATAATTACATACCCATATGAGCTTGAGTAGCTGAAAAAGGAAGCCCATTCCACATTCGATCACATAGATGAAGACTCTCCAGCGATTGCATCTCAACTATAACAACATATCAGGTAGCATTCGAAGAGGATTTAGTCAGCTGGATCGTCTGGAGATATTTGATTTGAGTGACAACAAACTCAGCAATGAAGTTCCTCCACTGGATAAGTGCAACAACCTTGGTTATCTCGACCTCCATGGAAACTCGATACAGAGCAAGGTGCCAACTTTTGGTGCACCTGCCTTACGTGGATCTCTGTGAACAAGTTCCACAGAGAGATCAGCTCAAGGCTAGCGAACTGCTTATACCTCAAAGTGGTCAACTTTGCACAAAACAATCTCACAGGCCCGCTTGAGCTGATGAAGTTGACAAGTTTGTTCTCCTTTGTCATATCCAACAAGTTGAGTGGCAACATTCCAGTAAAAAGCTTGAATTCCACATACCTCAGATATAGTGGAAACCAATCCACAAGGTGTGATCCCCCAAGAAATTTGCAGCTGGATTATGATCCTGTCTTTTGCATACAACAGGCTCATTCTCTCCAGATTGAAAATTCTTTATGATCAGTCTTTTAACTCAACATGGCAGGATCCTTTAATATTTGATTAATTGATTGATTGATTTATTTATTTAATACTTGTTTTATGATTTTCCTTTAATGTTTGGAATGGTTCAAACCACTTATTTGGTTTTCCATTGGGATTCCAAGGCAAATGGAACCTTTCCATTGCCTCCTTGTGGATATGGAACCAAAGATCACTTTGAGCACTTTGCAAGTCATATCAAAAGCTAGGAATTTGCATTTGGCTGTTTGTGGCAGCAATCAAGGCGTGTGTGGTATTGGTTACATTTCAGGAATTATGTTTTGATCGGTAAGACACAAATCCCTAAGCACCAAAATGGAGTTGAAAATGTATCATGTGACAATGGCTAAAGTGGAAGTTCAACTAAAAGTTTCAACTCAAAAAGTTGAAAATGGGAGTGGAACTCCCAAAAAAGTGTTTGAGGAATGAGCATAAAGTGATTGATGAAGTAAGTCTTTAAAACAAAATGCAAAAAAACTAACACATGGTAAATGTTATAAGACATAAAAGTGTCAAAACCAAATCTGAGACTTAGTCTAAGACTGAGTTTAAGACTGATTTCAAGTCTGATACTGAGTCTGAGACCGAGTCCAAAATTAAGTCTGAGAAATGAAGGTTGAGAATAGGTTTGAGAGGGAGTCCAAATTCAAATTCAAATCCGAGAGCGAGATTGAGATTGAAACTAAGACTAAGGACAAGACCAAGACTGAGACTGAAACCAAGACTAAATCCAAGGGTGAAAGCCTAAACCGATTTTCTCCAGGTTTAATAAATCCCTACAAAGTGGAATTAGTGAGGCTAAAAAAGGTTAATATGACTAAGGAAGACATGTGGTGGAAAATGATATAATTATTAAAGAGTCCAAGGGTAAAATGAATATGGATAAATAAATGGGGTGATTTGATGAAGTATTTAATAGTTGTGAAAGATCAAATGATTAATGTTCCTAATTCAAGTATGAGTGGCATTGTCTTGTATGGTTCATTAGAAACTTGCTTTAGCCACATGGTTAGGAGTACCCATGCACATGAGACTCACATTGAGTTGCAATATTTCGAATTATCATTCTAAAGTTTTAAATTATGGAAAGCAAAAGGAATAATTCTTTTGTTTAGTGACCAAAGGTATAGTTACATAATGAAGAAGTATCAAAGGTTAGTAAAATTTAGTGGATAGGCATTCAAGCTTTAAATTAATAGTGGTGGTGGTGAACACTACTATGAACAGTGAGTATAGCATACATGATTTTCAGCCTTTATTCTATAGTGATTTACCATAGGATAACCACAAAGCAGAACTTATCCTTTTATATACCACATGCCATGTACCATGTGTCTAGGGATAGTGGATTAGAACTTGAGTTTTAGGGCCTTGGGCCACTAAATGAAAGGACAGAGCCTAACTCCCAAATTTAAAGCCAAGGAACAAAAGAATTAGAGCATAGAATGACTCTTGAGCATTTAGCCCAAGGAGTGAAGGGACAAGAGCATAGAAATGTGCTCCAGGTCGAAATAGCTTCATATCTATTGGATATGCAGTGGAATGACTCCAGCAGTTGGTTTTGCAAAAGCCTAGAGAATCTTTTTGTGGTGGAAGAACTATATTTGTAATGAAGAGCATGAATCCAAATCTGCACCATTTATGACAAAAAATCAATTATAATATAATTTGATTACAAGCAAAATGGTGAGAGGGCTGAAGGAAGAAAAAGAATATAAGTCCTAACTAAATTAAAAATTGATGAATGATTAACTTGAATTTATGGATATTGATGCTAAAGATTGGATAAAACGAGATCAAGACAATATATTATTTTTGTATTAATTTTTTTCATTTGTATCAACTTCTAAACTCAAGTTGTATAAACTATAACTTAAAAATACTTAATAAATAAACTTTCCTTGTATTAGGTTTCCCATCTAATCTCATTTAACTCTAGTTATTTAATTTTAGCATTATTGTTTATCTTCTATATTTTATAAAATACATTTAAAACTCAGTAAGTGGTATAAAATACAATTTAATATATAAACACATATTAGGCAATTGCTACAAGGCACAAAACAAAAATCCTCAGTTTATATTAACCAAATAAATAAGTCATTTATAAATAAGTTAACATATAACTTAATAAACTAATAATTAAAATTTATAAATAAAAAATTTAGTTTTTTAATTATATATTTGTAAGTTTTAAAACTAAATCTGATCTACATTCCATTCAAATATATCATATCAATAAATATTTTGCTAACAGTATTTTGTATTGATTCAAGTTGAATGCATGTATATTTATAGGCACAAATATTAATCTTTTAGCACCTGATTATTTAGATATTTCATTTAATATCCAAATACTAATTCAAACATTTTAAAAGGAG